TGATCGCCCACGCCAGTCAGCAAGGCACCGGATGATGATGGTGAAGTGTAGGTAAATATAGGAATGTGTGACGAAACGTGAAGCAAACTTACAAAAATGTTATAGTTTCAAAACAGAGGTGGATTAATAATTTAAAGCCATGAAATAAACCTAACACTGCCAACGAACGTAGAGATGGATGTTAACAACACAGCGGTAAGCCATCTCTCTCCCTCACTCTATCCTTCCCCCGACAGATCGTTTGGCCAGTCAGAAGCTTACTGAATAGGTTACTGGTCTGTTTCGACCCCTGCTCCACCCTGTCTTATTATACTAAGCTAAACTGTCTTTCACATAACGTCACAGGTTCCAAAATGCGGCCGCACGGAAAAGGGAGATCCCGGATATACGCACTGCGTCTAGTTAGGATTGGAAGGTTAAAAAAAAAGGTAACGTTTACCTTTCCTTCAGTGTGCTCTCTCTCTCTCTCTCTCCCAGTCTTCTCTCATGACATCCCTTTGCTTCACTTGCTTAATGTTTACCTTGACCATTAATGATAATCATATTATCTAGAGATAACAGCTGTCTATGTTAAGATGCTCCTTTATCCTCTTCCTCCTCTAAAGACAGAACTGCTTTGCGAGCTCAGACCATCATAGCGCATAAAAACCTCGACACAGCTCGAAGTGACCACAATAATCTCCTCACCGCCCGAGAGCGCGATATGTCCCAGTATTAAAATTGCCCCAACGGCCCTGCCCCCAGTGAGCCGCTTGCAGTGGATTCGTCAGCCATACTCTAGCTCACAATGAAAAAATGAGAAGACTGCCTGTTGGAAGAATGGCATCGTTGAGTCGACAGTCAACCTACTTCTACTATGCCTGTGCGACCCCCCCCCCCCACCCTCCCCACCCTCCCCCACAGACACACGCACACGGTTCTCTAGGAAAGGTAGGCAACCTCAAGAGTAAGCGGATACCACATAGCAAGTTCTAGCCTCCCTGAAAAAAGCTCTCGAACCTGAAATTGTTAAGCAATCTCTTAATTATCCTCTCATTTTCTGGACAAAAATATTACTCACCCATGTCGTAACCTGCGCAAATATTCTCACCGCAGTGAATCTGTTGCACGACCTTCCTTTTCGCTTTGTCCTGTATCAAGACGTCCTTATCATACAACTTGATGGGAACACTGCGAGATCGGGAAAATAGAAAGATTCTGGATCAGAAAGCCCTATGGGCTTCCAAGCAGAGAGCCTGGCCTGGATCCTGTTCATCGAGCAAGGGGACTTTGTTACGTAAAAGACAACAAACGCCGACTGAGTTCTTTAAAAGTCATATAACTAGAGTTGGGTGTCAATGAACATTTTTTTGTTATTTCGAATTAAGGTATCTGTACGCTCCCGTTGACACAATCAAAATTTTGATCATTTAGGAGGCGGGCTTCGACCTTGCCTGTCAGGGCCAACTTTGGCTGAAATTGATACTATCCCAGCATCAAGAACCGAGATGCTCGATAAAAATTCGTCCCTCTCGGGAATCAAGCTCAAGTCTTCTGCGTGCGACGTCAAAGAGCCTGATCATAGCACCACAGACCGCTTTTTTTGGGGGGAGGGGGGGGTCTTTGTTATTGGCACCAAGGTTTGTTACTTTGATTGTGGTTTTGCTCGTGTAAATGAAGGCTACAAGCAGATAGTAAAAGCCTGATATGAGAAGAAAAAGAAAGAAAAAACAAAAGCACCGTAATGCCTTATTCCCATTGGTGGAAGTGACACCATCCATGTACATAATAATATGCTTAGATTATGTTGATGTTGAAATAGAAAGAAAGTAAGACGATGAATGAAACGAATTCATTAGAATCCTCCACTTTACAACATCGAAGGAAATTGAAAAGAAAATAAGCCGTGGGAACCATGATTCCTTTCTTGCTAAACCGGATTACGTTTCAGTCGTTAAATCTCATTATAGCGTTTTCTATTAGAATGTTAAGGAACTTGAGCCAATTTTATCAAGCTATGTACATGTATATTTCCAGTGGCACTGATAACGAAAGAAACGTACGAATTACAAGACCAGGCAAGTAAAATTGTGAGCTACAGAGAAACGTGAACATATGCCTTCATTGTCAATAAACGAGAAGGAAACGCAAGAAAGCACAACATTTAATATTATGAACAGAAAGTAAGGAGGCAAGATCATTTTCTGTGGACAGAAGTAGTGAAAAGAGCCCACCATACCACAGAAAAGCCGTTCTACTGCCTCGCTGATGAAGTGCCTCTCATACGACATAACAGCTCTGGCGCAGAGAAGGTATTTTCTCTCTCCCTTTCCCCACCCCCTCCCCCCCTCTCTCTCCGTCTCCTCTCTCTCTCTCTCTCTCTCTCTCTCTCTCTCTCTCTCACTCCCCCTCTCTCTCCCGTTCTCTTTCTCGTTCTGTATTTCTCTCTTTGTGCATACATGCTTTCTTCTTCGTGTGTCAGCTCTGGAGCAGACATTGGCGATCACGGTACCCCATTCCTTCCTTACTTATAAATATATATCTCTCTGTGTGTAATTTATAGAAAAATGTGTTATATATATTATATATTATACATGTAATTATAATATAATAACATGCATATTATACAAGTATCATACAGTTACGTTTGCAGTATTGTTGATAGTGTTGAAAGTTATCGTACCTCGTGCCTGCCTCTCCTGGTCCTGAAATAACAGCATCATGGCCATCAGAGACTGTTACCAGTCCTCGTATTTCCTCTACGAAATATTGCTTTATTGTATGCTTAGGGCTGGTTGGAGAAAATTCTGAAAAAAACAACAAGCAGCCAAACTTGCTGAAGTCCCACATGGCTTAAAAAAATAACCACCGGTTTCAACGACAACTTCTTCTCTTCCTCCTTGAGTTGTTTTTTTTCTGTTCACAATGACATTGTCCGAGAAAACCATCTAAGATTACCGTTTTCCCTCTCGATAATGGGCGGTCATCTTGAACATAATAACGCGACTGTATATCACGTAGGAATAGGGAATTGTCTTTCAGAGCTTGATAGTGGAAAATGCGGACACTAGAAGAGAGATCTATCTGAAGGAAGAGTTGGATTTGCTTTTTTATATAACGTTAGTTGACTGTTTGTCTGATGTTGTTCAAGATTTGTTCAGAAAAAAACTTACACCAGGTAGTGAGTGAAACGATGGAGAGGCGTAGAGTGAGTATGTGTGTGTGAGTGTGTGTGTATGTGTTTGTGTGTGTGTATGTGTGTGTGTGTGTGTGTGTGTGTGTGTACGTGTGTGTGCGTGTGTATGTGAGTAAAGTGTGTGTGTGTGTGTGTTGTGTGTGTGTGTGTAAGTGAGTGTATGTGCTCATGGGTGTGCTATTGTGTGATTTTGGTGGTGTATGTGTGCGGGCGCGTGTGTGTTTATTTCTTATAATATGTGTGTGTATGTATGTGTTTACATGTGGGATTTGCTTGTCTGTGTTGTGTGTGTGTGGGGGGGGGATGAGGTGGTGAAATGTGTGTGTAGGTTTAGGGGAGAGGGGGTGTTATCTTCAAACATTTTGAACGTTTGTGTGTGCAGAGAGATTACCAATATACAAGTGAATTACTCAAATACCCTAAATCAATGTACCGACTTCAACAGAACCTAACCCCGAAAATAACTTTAGTGATAGACTGTTTCTTTTAGACTTTATATGAAGTATAAGTCTACTCAAAAAGTAAATAATTAAATTAAACTGCACTGTAAAGTTCTCTTGTGCTTACTGAAAAGGTACTTAAAATTAGTTTATTCTATGATATACTCATCTTGAACATAAACACGCAATGTACTCAAATTATTCCCCCCTTAAGGCTCTTTATTAAACTTAGACTAAAAAAGTAGGACGTAAATTAATTAGGCTGACCGCGTCCTGTTTTCTTGACGATAACGAACTGGCCGTTGGTGAGCCCCATGCTGCCCAGCCCGTCCTTGCCACAGCGCGCCACCTCCACAGGGTTCCCCCGGCCTGACACCACGGGGTAGCAGTAGATGGCGGATACCTTTCCTACCTGTCAGCGAGGAGTTCATGTCGTGTTTTAGGCTCTTTCGACTCTTTCATATTGTTGTGAATAACATGTTCTCTGTCTGTCTGTCTGTCTGTCTGTCTGTCTGTCTGTCTGTCTGTCAGTCTGTCTGACTGTCTGTCTGTCTGTCTGTCTATCTGTCTGTCTGTCTGTTTGTCTGTCTGTCTGTCTGTCTGAGTTTGTTTGTGTGTCAGTGTGTGTGTGTGTGTGTGTGCGTGTGTGTGTGTGTGTGTGAGAGAGAGAGAGACTCGTGAGAGAGAGAGACGGAGAGAGAGAGAGAGATAGAGAGAAAGAAAGAGAGAGAGAGAGAGTGAGAGTCAAAGAATTCTTGGGTGATCTTTTAAAAGAAAAAATGCCTTACCAAACATATAAAACATATCGTACAATAGATTGCTTAATACTCTTATAATCTCGCTGTCAGTTTCTCTTTTGAGATGAATAGTGGCCGATGTCCATTCCCTTGATACAATAGCAAATATTCTCTTGAAATGGACATAATACCCAAACACATTATAACTGATTTTTTACTTACCAAATGGAACCGGTGCCTGGATTTAGCTATGTGGCACAGCCGGGCACACGAGTAGACAGCAATACCTACAAGGCCCAGGAAGAGGCTAATCTGGATCTCATACGCCATGACAGTCTGGGCCGGTGACGGGTGAAATCTTTCCTGGAGCAGGTTTTATTTCGTCTTTAGTCCGGGAGGACGACCGAGAAAGACCTGGATAGATGGAGTCAAGGAAACATTAACGACCCACGGCATCCCCCTGACCCAAGCTCTCCGGCTGGCGACAGAGAGACGTCTCTTTCTTCCTGTGACAACCAAAAGGGTATCGGCGGTTAAAAGTAAAAGTCAAGTCCGGGATAAGATAGGCTGATCACAATGTATGTTCCACCTCGTCTCTGAAATATCCACTGTAGCTTCATAAATGCATTGAATTCGTTAGTCTCATTAAGAGCTTTACAGCACAGGTATCATGTGAGTGCTGGGTCATGTAAGTGCCGAGCATAAGAGGTGTTACTAGGAAACAAAAGAAAAGATGGAGAAAAATATAAGGACGACAGACATTTGATGGCAAAGAAGGACCAGACCACACTAGAACACCCACCAACAACCCATCATTGGACTCTTATTTTTTTTTGGTCAATGTTTAAGGACACTCGCAACTGCCTATGGTCATATGAGCGCGTGGGGCACATTAATCTTTGCTTTCAGTTTGGTAGGAATTACTTTTGAATTTTGCACAGGTGGCGGCCGAAGCCAACCCTTGTCGATTTAGGACCACAAAGGATTCTTTAATGTTCGCAACTTGCACCGGGACCTCGGAGATTTTTTCACCCTTTTCCGAGAAGGTTAAGTGTTATATCTTATCTACCTAAAGAACAGGGGTGTGGCTGAAAGACAGCAGTAAGAAGGAGCCAAGGGGAGGTGGGAGAAAGCCTGCAGAAATAGACCTTTAGCCCAGAGCAGGGGCAAATGTGGGGAGAGGTGGGGCGGGGGGCAGAAATAAGAGACGAAGGCAGACAACAAAACATTGTTAGAGAGCAGGAAAGGATATTGAAACAAGAAAAACTTAGAGAAGAAAATTATCTGTCGCTGTCAGGTTTCGAACCCGGGACCTATTGAATGAACACCTTAACTTCTAGACCATGAGAGACCCCCCCCCCCAAAAATTTTTTTTTTTTTAAAAAAAAAAAAATAAAAAAATAAAACAATTTGACCTTGAGGACTCCACATGGGGTTGGGGGGGGGGAGGTGGGAGAGAATTAAAGTGCACACGCTGAGGTGGGAGATCTGGTCTGTATATATATATAGTATATGACTTTTGTGTTTGAACTGTTACTTCAGAAATGTTAAGTTCATAGAGCTGGTTACACTTTGAGTCATTGGTCATTGGATTTTGTTTGGATGTATTTCCCCCTTCGACACTATAATGTTATTTATGAGGCGGCACTTTCGGATAATGTATATCTCCAATAGGACCCAGCTAAGTGTAAAACCTTAAAAAATACCTCCCCAAATTGGGGCTTGTTGGGTATCTGAACTATTGCCACCCTCTTCGTGGTCCAGTATGATACATCTCATACCTACAGAGCTTATTAAAGTCTCGAATGAGATCATAGGTTTGTAAACTTAAAGCAAGACTTAAATCTATGTTGTGTCTTATGCCAATTTTCTCGCTAGTGCAGATACTACTGTTGGAGATCATGTAGAGAACCCAGGTCCTCTTTGATTAACCCTATTCGTACGTCTGGGGTCATTTTGTACCCCAGGGGTTGTATTCTTCACATTTTAGAATACTTCTAGTGCGAAGATCTCTTTGAAGCTTTCATTGTTTCTTAAAAAATCATTTTGACAGACTGCTATACGAAACGCACGGGTCAGATTAACGAGTAAATTTCCTCTTTGGAAAGAGGGGGTACAGAGTTCCCCACGTCGTATGGATACGATAGTAAAACACGACGTACGGATTGGGTTAAAGACGATAGTTTAAAGGACATGTGTCGGCGTGGGGAGGGGAGGATAAAAAGCAAAACAACCCCTTGAAATACGTAAGAGCGACCAGATCAATTCATAAAGAGATCAGTTTACGTCGTCTGTCTATATCATACCCTTATTGCCTCCACAGAAGTTTGATCTTTTCACAATTTGAACTGCAAAAAAATGTGTTCCTGATCGCGAGCAAAACGGAAACGGAAGTTTCCTGTCAGAAATTTTATTCATTCAGAGCGCTAGAATAGTGCTTTATCGTAGTGCACAGTGAAGCGGCGTGAAAAAGGAAATCGCTGAGTCGTGCGTGCTGTGCACATAGATCTAGATCTAGTGGGTTAAAAAAATCAGAGTTGAAATATCCATGCCCAGTGAAATTTGTTCAAAAGATAAATAGCCTACATTTTTTAAACTCTTTAATAAATATCGTTTGTGGTATCAAAAGATAACGAATAAGATCCACCCGCTGAGTTCTAACTTTTTTTAAAGCTTCTATAGGGCATAGACTGCAGTTGACCCGAGCCGGCCGTACAGTAAACTGTTGTGTACAAAACTATCTTGTGTTTCGCGCGCTCATATGATCTTATGCAGTTGCGAGCGAAGTTAAACCCTTCACTACTAACTAGACTGCAGTAATAATAAGAAGATCTGTATAGTTATACTCTGATAGTTTCCTATTACTTTAATCTGCACATGTTTTTCATATCTTTTTTGTCCCATAAATTTTCTTATAAATTCCTTCTACCTATCACATAAAAAATTTACACTTTCCCCTTCAAAGTCGCAACTATTCTTTTTTTAAAGCATATTATTATTTAATATCTCGCTCTATTTTCTACGTTTCCTTAGCTTTCTGTCTCATTCTCGCTCCCCCTTCCCTAAAAAAGAGATTTAAACAAAACCCCCCGCCCTTTAGATCTAAAAGAGACAATACAAACATTATAATCACACTAAAAACGCCCCC